GACCCGCGGCCGGGCCGGGGCGCGCACCCCGGGAAAGGGAAGGGCGGCCGGGGCGGGGGGGGGCGCCCCGCGCCCCGAGGGCTGTGGGCAGCGCCGCTGCATGTCCCCGGAGCCCCACATCCCTGTGTCCCTATAGAACTACGTCCCTGTGTCCCCCGTACCCCACGTCCCCCATAGCCCCATGTTCCTGTGTCCCCTGTAGCCCCATGTCCTTGTGTCCCCTGTAGCACTGCATCCCCGTGTCCCCATCTCCCCGCATCCCTGTGTCCCATGACCCCAGAACCTCATGTCCCCGTGTCCCCTGTCCCATGTCCCCGTGTCCCATGTCCCCGTAGCCCCACGGCCCCGTGTACCCCCACAACCCCGTGTCCTGTGTCCCCATGTCCTTATATCCCCGTGTCCCAATATCCCTGTGTCCCTGTATCCTCGTGTCCCTGTATTCCCGTGTCCTCCATCCACATGTCCCCGGGTCCCCATCTCCCCCTCTCCCCTGTACCCCACGTCCCCTTGTCACTGTATCCCCATATCCCCATTCTGCACATCCCCAAGTCCCTGTATCCCTCTGCCCCTGTACCCCAAGTCCCCATGTCCCCAAGTCCCCATGTCCCCATGTCCCCAAGTCCCCATATCCCTGTGTCCCCGTATCCCCGTGTCCTCATGTCCCCGCTCCCTGTGGGTGTCCCCCTTCTCTCCCCAGCACAGGGGGACCTGGAGGGACAGAGGATGGAGGGGCGCAGCAGCCCCCAGCCGTGCCCCCCCCTGCCCTGGGCATTTCCAGGGCCACCGGTCCCTGAGCCCCGAGATGTCCCCACAGTCCCCAGGGTATGAGGCCTGAGGCCCCGGGGATGGCCCCTTCCCCACCCCAGGAGGTCACCTCCAAATAGGGACCACCCCCCAGCACCTCGCTCTTCCTGGGTCCCCCCACTGGTGTAACGATGCCGGGTGGTCTCAGCCTGGCACTGGGGGAGGTTAATCCTCCCCAGCCCCCCGTGGGCTCGGGTCCCCGGGGACGGGGTGTTTCAAGGGCGTTTGGGTGGAGGGGGCTGGAGCGTCCCTGTGTCCCCCCCAGGTCCCCACGGTGGGCAACCGCTGGGCTCTGGGTTAGTGGCTCCGGCTGGGCTGTGGGTTAAGCAGGCTGTGGGTTAACCAGGCTGTGGGTTAACTGGACTGCAGGTGAACCCGGCTGTGGGTTAACCGGGCTGCCAGGTTAGCTGGGCTGTGGGTTAGTCACACTGGATTAGCTGGGCTGCCGATTAGCAGGGCCACAGATTAGCCACGCTGGATTAGCTGGGCTGGGGGTTAGTCACGCTGGATTAGCTGGAATGTGGATTAGTGGGGCCACAGATTAGCTACGCTGGATTAGCTGGGCTGTGGGTTAGCCACGTTGGATTAGCCACACTGGTATAGCTGGGCTGTGGGTTATCCCGGGCGTGGGTTACTCAGGCTGTGGGTTATCCCGGGTGTGGGTTATCCCGGGTGTGGGTTATCGCAGGTGTGGGTTTATCTGGGCTGTGGGTTATCTGGGCTGTGGGTTACCCGGGGTGCAGGTGATAACCTACCCAGCTGCAGGGTAATCTGCCTGTGGATTAACCCAGCTGTGTGTTGACCGGGCTGCAGGATAACCAGGCTGCAGGTTACCCCTGGTGTGGGTTAACTGGGCTGTGGGTTAGCCGGGCTGTGAGCTACCCGGGCTGCAGGTTAACGGAGCTGAGGGTTAACGAGGCTCTGGGATAGCCAGGCTGGGCTTTAACCGGGCTGGGGGTTAATGGGGTTAATGGGGCCGGTTGGAGGGGGCTTCGGTTACCGGTGCTGGTGCTGTGGATGACTTCTCCGATGGCTACGGAGGGCTGAGCCGCGCCGGCGCCGGCCGTCCCCAGGGAGTGGGGTGGCGGTGGGGACGTCCCGCTGCCTGACCCGCTGCCAGCCCCCAGCCACCCTTATCCGCCCCATTGGCAGCACCGGTGCCGCGGGGGTCCCGTGGGAGCCCCACGCCTGTGGACCTGCTGGATGCACTGTGGGGGCAGCTCAAAAAAGGGCCAAAACAGGCTTTTTTCCCCCCAGTCTGCAGCCTCTGCCGATGGCTGACGAAGGTTGGGTAGCGGCGGGGGGGAAAAAACAAAAATCATCATTTTGGGGTCCCCCCCAGTGCTGCGGGGGAGGATGGGGGTCCCCATCGCTCCCATGGCCGGGGCGGGGAGGG